AAATCAGTGAGATTTTTCTGTAGTTTCCACATTCTGTTGGGTCACCTTTCTTTGGGATAGGAACAAATATTGATCTCTTCCAGTCAGTTGGCCAAATGGTCGTTCTCCAGATTTCTTGGCACAATTTGGTGAGCACGTCCATGGCAGCATCTGTTAACTGAAATATGTCCGTTGGTATACCATCTATTCCTGGAGCCATAAGTACAGAAGAAAAAAAATTAAAAGCAGTATTAGGTTCAAGTGGGTCATTTTATTAGTGTGTGCTTTAAATAAATGTTATTATGCTTACTAAAAAGAAAAAATCAAAGACAGCAGTTTCAGTATGAATTAAACCTAAATATAAAGTCTAACAACTGGGCCAGTAGTCAAGATCAATAAATGAAGAAAAGATTGATGTTGTCAAGGTTTTCATTATACTTTGTGTCCACATTCATTACCTATGGAATCAGCAGTCAAGAAAAGCATTGGGTAAATATGCTGCAAAGGACTACTGTAAAATGTTAAAAAAGCAAAAATGTCACTTTGATTACTAAGGATGCTCTGACCCAAACCATGACATTTTCAATTACCTCATATGATAGTGAAAGGTTAGACAACGAATAAGGAAAATAAAAAAAAATAGTGTCTTTCAATAAGGTATAATGCTTTTGAATAAAGAATATTGAATATACCATGGACTTCCAGAAGAACAAATAAATCTGTTTTGGGGAAAGGTATAATCTGAATAGTCCTTAAAATCATGGATGGTAAGACTTTGTTTCATGTTCTTTGAACATATTATTTGGAGACACCAATTCCTGGAAAAAAGAGGAAGACCCTAGTGAGATGGCTGCAATAATGGAATCAAACATAGCAACAATTGCAAAAATGATACAAAACCAGGTAGTGATTTGTTCTCTTCTACATAGGATTGCTCTGAGTTATAAATGAATCCTTGACGCCCCAAAGCAGCATATATTTAGCACAATTTAAAAAATCTATTTACTTAAGTTAATTTAGAATAATATTATGTTTAAGCATTTATAAGCTCTGATGGCCTATAATCAAAGAGTGTGCTGGCAATCCAAAGGCAGGCAGTTCAAATCCACCAGCTGTCTGGTGGCCTAGTGACAAGAAGCTGTCCTGCAATCCTGAAGGCAAGTTGTTCAAGTCCAGCTGCTCTGAGGGAGAAGGATGGGCAATCTCCTCCTATGTCCTTCCTTTGCTGTGAGTCAGCTCTGACTCAATGGTACACAACAACAACATATTTTAGAAGACCAAACACTATAGCCTTCAATATAAGTTACATCTCAACATCAAGAAAATTAAAAGTCCTCACCACTGGCAACATTGTGATAGATGGAGCAAAGACTGAATTTGTCAATGATTTCATTTTACTTGGCTCCATAATTATCATTCACAGCAATAGAAGTCAAGAAGTCAAAAGATGTGTTGTACAGGGGAATATATGCTGTGAAGGACCTCATCAAGCTGCTAAAAGCAAAGATATTGGTTTAAAGACTAAGGGACACCTGATCCCAGCCAGTTTTTTCAATTTGTTCCCATGCTTTTGAAAGTTGCACAATGAATAAAGATGACAGAAGATGAAGTCAGGCTTTTGAACTGTAGTGTTGGAGAAGAATACTTAATATCCCATGGACTGCCAACTAAATAAACAAGTCTGTCTTGGAGAAAGTGCAATCTGGGTGTTCCTTAGTGGCAAGAATGGTGAAACTTCATCTCACATATTCTCAGCATATTTTCAAGAGGGGTGAGCCCTTGGAAAAAGATATCATACTGGGAAAAGTGGAGGTTCAGAGAAAGAGAAGAAGACCTTTAACAAGATAGACTGACACAGTAACTAGCAGTGTGTTTGAATATATCAGAGATTGTGAGAGGGTCACAGGACGGGGAATGACTCAGATCAGTTGTTCAGAAAATTGCTGTAAGTCATGATTAACTTGATGGCATACAACAACAACAACAACAACAACAACAGTGCATTTCATATAAAAACAATGTCTTAAAGAGTGAGCATGCATTTTATCTTGATACTGTAAAATTTTCTAACTTCTTGGTATAATAATTTAGATAGTCTGTATTCTTTACACAATCTTACTTTTGTGCCTGTTCAGAAGTAATTGGTGCAAGGAATAAAGAGGTAATGTAGAACTTCAAGAGTTTCTAGGGTAAAGGCAAAGATAATGAGATTTCATCTCACATACATCAAGAGGTTCCTGGAGGAGAACATCCTGCTTGGAAGGAGAGGAAGACTCTCCTGGAGACAGAGTGATGGCGTGACTGTAACAATGGACTGATGCACAGCAGACTGTGACGATGTCACAGGACAGGGCCTGGCAGGGTTTTGTTCCCTTGCTCATGGGGCCACTATGAGGTGAAGCTGACTCAAAGGCACCTAACAAGGCGAGTAAGTAGAAGTTAAAATGTTATGAATATTGCATACTATTTCTTGTGTTTAAAAATATTTTTAAAATATTTGAAGGCAATCAATGTAACTAAATGATATACATGTAGAAACTGCAAATTGTGTTTATTTTGCTGTGTTTCTTCACAATTACAAGATAAAAATTATATATATATATGTTTTAGAAAAAGCCATTTGAAGGCAGTATATTGTCAAAACTATAATAATAACATAACCCTACTTCTTTGTAATTTTTCTTTTTCATGGAAAATAGATTATCTGTTATTCTGTATGAAAAATGGAATTAAAAGCACCAAATATAAACCAGTAGATTATCAACAATTACATGCATTAACTGAAGCAAAAAAATTAGCTTCTGCTACACAACTAAAGGTATGAGCCCTTGTTTCTCCCCCACTATTAGAAAATTTAATTTCTAAGAAGTATAATAATACTTACATTGTTAATGGGAACATAAATGCCATTCTAAATAGTTTTTAGGATCTGTCAATGATTAATGATATTGAATAGCAGCTAACATTTACTGAAGGCTGCTGTGCAGTGCTCCTTGTAGGCAAAAATGGCAAAATGTCGTCTGTTATATTTTGGACATGAACTTAGTTAGGCAAGTCTAGGGTTAACATTAGGACTAGTGTTAGAGTTAGGCTTAGGGTATGAGTGAAGGTTAATGTTGGGGTTAGGGTTAGGGTTAGGGTAACATTTAAATTTAGGGTTAGAGTTGGGTTTAGTGTTAGGGTTAGTGTTAGAGTTAGGAAAATGTCCTTGGAAAGGGACATCATACTTGGAACAGTAGAGAGTCAGTGAAGGAGAAGAAGACACTCGGTGGGATGTATTGACACAGTGACTTCAGCAATGGACTCTACTGTATCTGAGATAATGAGGATGGCTCAGGATAGGACGGGGTTCAGGTCGGCTGTTCAGAGTGTCACTATGAGTCATACTTTACTCAACAGCACCTAACAACAACAACAATGGGCACATGTATCATGCTTGAAAAGTTGGAAAGTCAGTGAAAGAGATCAGAAGACCCCAAATGAGATGGATTGAGACCATGACTGCAGCATTGGGCTTTAGTATATCTGAGATGATGAGATGGCACAGGATAGGACAGAATTCAGATCTGTTTTTTGTCGAGTCACTATGAGTTGTACTTGACTCAGTGTCACCAAACAACAACAGTCACATATGAAATTCTATATACATTGCATCAAAGTTTATAATATAATAGTGTTTCTAATATTTAATTAATTCAATCAAGAAATATTTGTTGTGTTCATATTGTGTGTTGTAAATATAAAATAATAAGCAAAATAAAATAAGTACACTATGCAAAGTACTGCCTGTAGGGAGGAGTGATTATCTAAGTCCACATATAAAATTATTATATTAAATATGAATTATTATAAAGAACGTACTGTCTCATGGTATATAGTAAATCTCAAAAACTCATTGCTGTCAAGTAGAAACCAAGTTATTGCTTACCTTCTTTTGGGTTTTTAGGGCTGTACATTGCACAGGAAGCAGCTGGTAGATTTGAAGTAACAGGTGCCACCTTTGGTCTAGCAGCATGGCTCACTACAGATTATATCACCAGCCTTTATTTCTGATTGTGCAGTGGTTGTTGTTGCTGTTATGTGCTGTCAAGTTGACTATAACTCATAGTGACTCTATTAATAATGGACCTGAACCCTTCCCTATCCCTTGCCATCCTTATCATCTCTGATACACTTGAGCCCATTGGTACAGTCACTGTGTCCATCTACTTTGTTGAGGATCTTTCTCTCTTTCATTGACTCTCCACTTTTCCAACCGTGATGCTATTTTTTTCCAAGAATTGGCCCTTCCTAACAACATGCACAAGGTGTGCAAGATGAAGCTTCACCAACATTGCCTCCAAGGAGCACACTGGTTGTACTTTCTCTAAGACATACTTGTTTGTTCTTTTTACAGTTCATAGCCTATTCAATACTCTTCTCCCATACCACAATTTACAGGCAGTGATTCTTTTTCTGACATCCTTATTCATTGTTCAACTTTGAGATGCATAATAAGTAGTTGAAATGACCATGGCTTAGATCCAGTACACCTTAGTCATAAGCTGACATCATTATTCCTTAGCACTTTGGAGGTCTAAGCAGTAAAATTTCCCAATACAACATGTCTTTTCATTCTTTAACATTTTTAAAAACAAATTATTATTGTTTTCTTTAATTTTAAACTGGTCTACTTACAAATTTCATATACATTGTTTTCCGCATTGGATCTTTTCCCTTCCCTTTACCCATCTTTGCTTCTATCCATCAAACTGTGTGACCCTATGATTAAGGAACCACCCACCCCAGATATTCATACTCGTTCTACAGTGTGGCCTTATACAGTTTTTGTCTTTATGAGACTGAGTTATCCATGGTTGGGCATATGGACTGTTTCCATGTTCTTGCTATGGTGACTAATGTTGCTATGAACACTGGTGTACAAGTCTCTATTTCTGACTTTTGATACCAAAGGTTTGATTGTGGATCCAAGTAAGATGAAATTGTTAACAATTTTTGAAATTAGGGAAGTCTTTTCTGAGAAAGTGATATTGCAGTTGAGATCACAAGCCAATAAGGATTAAAAAAAAACACCCCAAAACCATCAACAAATGAATGGAAGGAAAAACCATGGTATATTCACACAAAGGAATTCCACGCAGCACTGAAAAGCAAAGAACTTGTAAAACCTCACACAATATGCGTGACCATGGAGGATATTATGCTGAGTGAAAGATCTCAGACACAAAAGGACAAATCACTGTTATAAAGTAAGACTGACATGGTTGGGTGGGGTAAAACTAAAAACAGAGGGGATAAATAATGAACACTGCACTGGAACCAATGAAGGAAAGAACTGTTTAAAAGGAATATGTGATTATTAGGCATTATTTGCATGAAAACAGTCCAGAATAACAAGTACATTGCAAAGTGGGATAGGGATGGGGTGAGAGGAAGGAAATTATGCAAATGAATGACTTTTTTTAAAAAAGGTGTACTGGGTGGGTAGGGAGAAAAATGCACAAAAGGAATGAAAAGTCAGCTTTTCTGCAAACTTTGTTAAAATCACAATAAAAAACTTTTAAAGAGGAAGAATTTCTAAAAAAGAATTAAAAAAAACCTAAATGTTGAATAATCCAAATAGAACAAGATGCATATACTATAATTTATAAGTTTTGGGGGTATATTTTCATGAGTGTGTTGTCTGAGGCAAAAAATGTTCCTTTCAGACTTATTGACAAATATCTTCCCCAAAATATTATCTTAATGTAAGAAGCTATTACAAATACATAACTATTGTTTTCTCTACAGTATTGGAATATATACATATGTACTCTTACATACATTCATTTATATATTATCTATTCAGCTTCCTGTTCATCCAGCTATCTATCCATCTCTCTATCCCTCCATCCATGACCCTAAATGCATCAAAAAAGCATTTTGGCTGATTGTGGAATTAATGTGGTGTTAAGATTTTAAGAATGATTTTTCTGTCCATTGCCTTAGACCTGACCCCATGGCCAGTTGGGAACATGTAAGTAAAATTAATCTTTGAGGCTCCACCCACCATCCTTAGATCACCTGGGGTGATAATCTCCAGCTGCCTTGCAGGGCAGGTGGCCTGCCTATCATCAACAGCTGCTTAAGTAATTTCTCCCTCATAAGGCATGTTAGCCTATCCACAAGGGGATTGGCTACTCTTGCCACTAAATTAAGCCAATTCATTGTCAGAATTCAGGAACTTCAACACGAGGAAAGAAACAGCAGAGAAAGCAGCATGTATGCTTTGGGGCTAGAGGTTCCTCTGAGTCCAAAGGTTCCTGCATAAGAGATATTTTGCTGTTGACTGAGATGCTGTCTGATCTCAATGAGGGATTATGTCTTGCTGTTACCCTGGTTTGGGACTGCTATTTACTAAATCTGAATAACTGTTTAATATCCTTTGTCTTTCACCCTCCTGCCCAAACCTGTTTTCCTAATAAATATTTTTACTCAACTGTGAGTAAAAGATTTTGTTTAGTTTGTGTGGTCATTTACAGTAAAATTTGGATGCAGTAATTAGTAAAAGTAAGGTGCAGTGGAGTTGGGGGCGTGCGCATATCTGACCTCATCAGATCAGTCAAATCAGTAAAATCAGTTTTACATTGTGGATGTTGTTAATGGGGACAGTTTCCCTTTGTAGAGTTACTAGGGGTTAGGTTCAACTGTCCCCATGTGGTCATTGCTCCTCTTACATTTGGATATTAAGGTCAATATTTGGTCAAATTCAAGTTCTCTTGCATGATAAATTTGGCTATAAGAATAAACATATTCAAGATTTTAAATATTTAAGTATATTTTAAAATTTTGGCATTGAAAGCAAGAACAATAATTTCTCAACACTCAGTTTCTACATGGCTTCTCTGCTGACTATATTTATTTGTGAAATTAAACAAATGTTCACTTTAAACTGACCTTTTAAATAACCTCACTAACCATTTTATCCAAAACATATAATTTAGGAGAAAGCCTTTTCAGTTCTTCTCTGTAAAGAGCTGCATTGCTAGCTGAAAAACCATGCCTCTCTGATAGTAACCTTCTCCTTTGTGATGTATGGCCTCAGACAACTTACTGGAGGGTCAGGTATGAATTTGTTCCATGACGGGATTTTATTTTCTGCAAATCACTTTTTACCTGTGATTCATAGCTTGACAACTCTCAAAAAGTATTCTTTGTCTTCAATTACTGGGAATGGCTGGCTAACAGTTTATGGCAATCATTTGAACAAGCTTTTTGCTTCTATTTTTCAATGCTAGGATAGATTTATAACTATAAAGAATTGTCCCTTTGAATTTTATAATGCCTGCTGTTTTTCTTTTTGGCTAGTGGGATTAAAATGCATTCTGGGTGCCTTATCAATTCCATCATACTTTCTCTTCATTTTCAATATTGTTTTCTTAATTATTATCATTATACATAGGTTAAGGAAAATGCTTTGGTGATGTACATGAGTTTTCAGAATTATCCCTTCTTATTTAATTTTAAGGTGGCAAGTTAACATTTTGCTTTTACTTTATTCTTGTAAAATATAAGTAATTCCCAAGGAAGAGCTATTTCTTGAAAAACTCATGACATACATATGATTAAATAACTGGAAATTAAATATAATTCTTAAAGTTTCTTATGTTCAATGTTATGAAAGTTAGTATACGAAATAGTCTACACACATTAGAATTTTAGTACTATCATATGTTGTTTGGCTGCATATTATTTACAGTTTTATGAAATATGTGTTGGCTCAAAAAAGAATGAATTATTCTTTTGTTATATAGCTAACACATTCTCTCTTAATGTTTA